AACAAAAGGTAGCATCATCAACTTGGGGCCAGGGCTACAAACATTCAGCATAAATTCCCCGGGGAAGCCCCTGTAAGGCAGCCAGCTAGGGTTTCCCAGCCAGAGTCCTGTACAGGACAGTGTGCTCCCTTTGTTGAGGCTTCTGAGTAAAGGAACACATAGCAGCAGACAGACATCACCAAGGCACCTGAGACCAGCAGAAACCACTGGGGAAGCTAAGGCCGTCAGCTAGAGGTCCTGAAGGACAGAGCTCTGGGTAGAGCATCGGCTGCGGTCTCTCCATAGATGAGCTTCTCGCTTCCTGTTTCCACTGCCGGCGTGTTTATCCTAGAGGATGAACAACAGCAACCTCATAGTTCACCTTCTGGCTGTCCTCACAGACACAGTATTGTTAATGCCTTTAGATGCTTGCTGCTTTCTTTCCTCTTTGGTAGAGTTAAGAGAGCAGCCTTCCCTGGGACAGGGAGCTTTTTTTTGGGGGGGGGGGTATAAAAGGGAGCACCTCCTTGCTTCCAGAGACTTCTCCCTAGTTTCATGAGAATTCAATATTTGATGAATTTTGATCATATTCACTCCCCTTCCCCAAATCCTCCAAGGCCTACTCCTCTTCCCTACCCACCCAACTCTTAGGAACTTTATTCTTTTAAAGTCTATCCAGGTCTGTTGTGCTGTCCATACACTCTTGCGTGTGTGTGCCTCTTCTTCCACAGTGGTCCCTGAGCCGTGGGAAGAGGGGGTGTGATGCAGTCGTCCCATGCAGGGCTGAGCATTCTGCACTCTTTTATTTTCTCACCTCAACAAGTTGTGGGCCTCTGTGTTGACGGCATCTATGCAAAAAGAGGCTTCTCTGCTGAGGGTTGAGAGATGCACTGCTCTATAACTATTAGTCTTTAAGAGTCAGTTTAATACAACGTCTCTTTAGTAGAGTAATAGTGGAGGTTCTCCCGTAGGGCCTGTGACCTGTGTGGCCACAGGTTCCTGACGTTTTCAACGGGCTTAGACAGCACATGACAATTCACCTGTATACAGATACATTTATTTTTGGCCTTATATTTGGCCTCTAAACTATTTATGTTATAGGGCTTTTTGAACTTTATTTTGTCATATACGAAGTAGATTGATTTAGTACATTTGGGGCCAAATGCAAACAAAAACCAGTTAACTGTAAGCTTTTATTTTTCTCCTAGTTAGCTTGTCTATCTCATGTCCAGCTGCAAGATTATTTATTTACCCTTAAGTTTAACATTTTAATATTTAATTTACACATTTGTTTTAATCATAACATACTCCCCTCCTCAAGGAGTTTGGATCCACTTCTTTGGAGTACGGTGCAATGACTGCTTTTGGCTGCTTCGGAGCTTTTTGGGACATCAGTAAAAGGACTATTGGGGGAGCACTAAGAAGAGGTGGAACGTATGGTGGTTAGGGTTGGGCATGTCAGATGGTTCAGTTGCCCTTGGTGGGAAGTGATTATGGTGGCCAAGGATTGGCCTCCCTTAGTCAGCCTTGTTTGAAATTTAAGACTTAGAACCTGGATAATATCTATCTACATATGAACAGAAACCAAGGGCACAACACAAATTAAAAGATCCAATATATGGCCTGATGTCTCAGGATTCAGCCTGGGAGAGACAGGACAATATATTGCCACATAGCAACTTTCTGAACTCTGGAAGTGGGGAACCCCATCAGCTGTCTAAGGAGGCAGGAGGAGCCTTGCCTAGTCTCTGGGGCCCATTCACTGTTAAGCAAATGCTTATTGTTGAGGTAATTCATGTTAATGCTTATTTGTGGTGGTAATTCTGAGGTTGTGATTGTGTGTAGTTTAAAATAATCACTACTAACAATGACAGCAATAAGAAAAAAAAAAAAGCACCCTTTCTTTGGTGCTATTCCAAGAACTGAAGGTGTACTTTCCGCTGAGTCATGGCACACACCTCTCATCCCAGCATTTGGGAGACAGAGATAGGAGAATTTCGAGAGTCAGTCCTAGCCTGGGCTACATAGTGAGCCCACAGCTGTCTAAATAAAGAAGAAGAAAGAGTGATGATCTCTGACTCCAAGAGCTTGCAGGCTTGTGGAAAGAGAGGCTGTGGAGACAGGCTGGTGAGTCTGCACGGAAGAGTCCAGATGGATTTCACAAAGGAGGCAGCTTTGGGCTGAGAACCACGTGGGTATGAGTTTGCAGATTCTGGGCTGCTGTGTGGTGGTGCTGTGTCCGAGGGCCTGCTTTTCCGTTCCGGTGCATCGTCATTATTTTTAGTCTGACAGCGCTTGTCTGCATCGTGTATGTGATTGCACTGTGCCAACTCTCCTTCGGGCCATCTTTATCACCTTCTCCAGTCATCATTGGTTGGCTGCCTACTGTGTGCCAGACACTGTACTGGTCCCTGGGGACAGAGAAGTGAGGGGCTGATATGGAGCCTGACTCCATAGATCTTTTAGTCTAGTGAGGGATCTGGGAGGTGTTAGTAGCCTGGGGCAGTGGGTGCTGGGCCAGGGAGACAAATCTAACAGAAGTATGTTTATTTCTTGGGATTGCTAATGAATGCTCACAAGCATAGTGGCCTCAAACAGCAATTTATAATTAGTTGGTTTCTTCTGGAGGCTGTAGAGGAGAAGCATTTTCTAGTGGGATCCTATCTCTTGGCTCACAGCTTCATGATTCCAACCTCTGCTTTTGCCTTTATTCTCCCCCCTGGATTACTGTCCTGTGGTCTTGTGACGACACCTACAATCTAGGATCATCTCCTAACTTCAGGATCTTTAATCACATCTTACTATGTAAGGTCATGTTTTCACAGCTGTTGGAGTTAAGATGTGGGTATATTTGGAGGCTATTTTTTTTCTGCCAACCTTGGAGTAGATGGGAAGAGGCACTTCAAGAAGCAAGGTTTAACTCAAGATTAAGGGGCCAGAGTTGGGTAGAAGTAGAAATAGGGAAGTGACTTTGGAGGCTTCGAGGTTTGTCTAGACAAGACATGCCCCAATGGCCTGCATAAGGCTGTCGCCATGAATGGAGAGGCAGAATGGATGAGAAGTTCAGGCAGTGCTGAAGAAAACTGTCCTAGACAAAAAAGACTCTCAGTGGGGTCTACAAGGGCAAGTGGGAACCTGAGTTCAGTGTCTTTAGAGGAGGGTCAAAGAACATAATGCCTAACTGGATGATTCTAACTTGTAGACAGTTTGGAGACTATGGAGAATTTTCTATTCATGTTAAGTCCAAGAAGAAATTAATATCAAATGACTGTTGAACAGAGTAATATCTAGCAAAAGGATGGTCAGCCTGGTCTCAAAGAGAAAAACTGATTTCTAGGGCCTAGAGCAGCAGATGTTTATAGACATAGATTTTTCTAAGCAACCACCCCTCTAGACAGACAGGTCTGGGCAAGATTGGGCCTATTTTCAAGGATGAGTGACATGACAGAATTACCTTGACAGCCCCAGCATAGAGATGGAGCAGCTTAGCACCCCCCCCCCCCCCCGCCCCGGGGCAGTATTATTTGCCATATGTATGCACTAATACCTTATTTACACAACAGCCAGGGTGTGGCCCAAGCAGAGGCCATAACGAGAATCCGGATAATCAAAGCAAGAACGTATCTAAGTGCCGCCGCGCCTGCTCGTTGCTGCACCAGACAGATCTCTGCAGTTCATGGCACTACCTCCAACCTCCTGCTCTGGCAGAACAACTGCCAGCTTAATGTATTTAGTTCTAAGGTAATGAAATTGCCTTTATAGAGAACCAGGGACCTTAACAAGTTCTGTGTTCTGAGCACCAGGGGAAATTTCATTTCCAGTGGCTTCTTATTGGATGACAACCGGAGGAAAAAATTCCTTCGCTAATAGCTCAGGAGTGGTTACACCAAAGTCATTGCATTTTCTATTAGGCAATGCACTTGGGATCCATTTTATTCTTATTATTTTTTTTCAGGCAAGAGGGCTAATTGACGTAAACCATCACTCTTGCTTCCTCCCCCAATTACAGCCACCTGTCTCCTCAAGTCCCAAACCTCTCTATTGTGCCTGACCTTTGACCCTTCTTCCTTAGCTTGGGATCAGCTTCTTTGTTTCACTTTGTGAGAAACCAGGCTTTGAATTATGCACTCTCCCATCTGTGTGTGTGTGTGTGTGTGTGTGTGTGTGTGTGTGTGTGTGTGTGTGGTGTGTTTTTCGGCAGGGGAAGTGTATGTATGAATAATGAATATGTGTTTGTATGTGGATTTGTTTGCATGTGGATATGTGTGCCTGTGTGCGTGTGAAGGTCAGAGGTCAATGTCAGGTGTTTCCTACTATTCTTTACTTACTTATTTATTTATTTATTTTGGAGACAGGGTGTCTCATTGAATTAGAAACTCAACGATTGGATAGACTGGTTGACCAACAAACCAAGCGTCTGCTTGTCTCCACCCCCCAAGTGCTAGGGCCACAGATGTGGACTGCTGTACCTGGCTTTTTGTGTGGGTGCTGGGGATCCAAACTCAGGTCCTCATGCCTGCCTGAGCCATCTCCCCATTCTCCAAGGTGGGCTTTTAAAGTCATTGGATGTCCATCTCTTCTCTGCTTCTGTACTTGGACAGAATAGGTGTGGATCCCTCTTCTGTTTACTTTTCTTCAGCCTGAATAATAGGCTTGTTTTTCAAATATGATGATTTGTACATGTTTGAACATGGGAGCCGAGGGAGAAGAAGAAGTACAAATAAATATAGATAGCTTTCCAGTTTTTATCCTTGTAGGAAAATATAAATGTTTTAACTCACTGATAGTTTTCCCTCTAGAATTAAGACTCCTGATGCTCACTTTTAAGAACTCATTAAAAACAACAAAAACCAGGTACTTAACAACTGATCAAATCCCCCAACTGCAGGCTTGGTGAACCAGTTTTTCATCCTTACATTTGGAAAAGCTGCTGAAGGAAGGCATCTGTTCTTTGTTTCTGATGAGTTTAGTGTTTTGTATTTATAAACAAACTCTCTCCTCTTCTCTACCTGCTTCCTCAGTGGCCGTACCTGCAGCAGCTCCACCAGTGTGCCAGCCCAAGAGTGCCACTAACGGGCACCATCCGCTTCCCCGCCTCTCCATTTCCTCCCGAGCCACGGTGGTAGCCAGGATGGAAGGCGCCTCCCAGGGAGGCCTGCAAACAGTTATGAAGTGGAAAACAGTGGTTGCCATCTTTGTGGTTGTGGTGGTCTACCTCGTCACAGGTGGCCTTGTCTTCCGGGCATTGGAACAGCCCTTTGAGAGCAGTCAGAAGAACACCATCGCCTTGGAGAAGGCAGAATTCTTGAGAGATCATATCTGTGTGAGCCCCCAGGAGCTGGAGACATTGATCCAGGTGAGCTGGGAATGTGCTTAACATACAGTAGCCTTTGGCAATGGATGATGGGGTAGATGTTGCCTTTGTGGGTCACCAAGTTTTGTCTTTGGTCATCAGGGAAATCTTCTCTGGGGAGGTCACACATGTGACACTTCAAAAAAGCCAGCAAGTGAGAGGAATGCCAGTGTGGGAGAAGAGGGACTATGACATGGGAATAACCTGTGATGTATCTTGTGTTTTCAGATTTGGTGGCCAGAGGTGGCAGCAGGTGAAAGGATTTTAGATTTTTCAAATTCAAGTCCATTAATACATGCTGATTAACTCTGGTCTGAGCTTTTGGGGAAAGAGCTGGGATAACAGGGTGCCCTATAAGTCAAAGAAAGGAATAAGTGTAAATAAGCATGGATGTATTAACCAATTCAGGGTTAAGGAATATGAGAAAGAGAGAAACAGTCTGCAGATATGTGGATGAAGAAGGTACTTATGGACCATAGAGTGGGTTTATGGGGGAGAAATAATGAAAATCAGAGTAACACTAGTCACCAGACTGCTTGTTTTAAAACATGCCAGACTCAGTCCTAAGCCCGTTACAGTCTCTACATATCAGTGGGGGAAAGTTCCACTAGAACATGGAGGTAGAGAACTGGGAAGCCAACCAGCCTCAACAGAGGTAGGGTGGGCTTGTCCGGGTGGCTGGGGATAGTGACAAGCCAAGGGTCATCTGAGGTGGTGGGAGTGGAAGGAATAGGCTAGAGAAGTCTGGAAGCTTGAGGAGGAGAGAGAAATGGTTGAGAGCTCTCTGTAGGATTCCTACCTTGGAGGCGAAGGAGGTGAGATGCCTCAGAAGTTGAAGTTAGGGCTCCCTTTCAGGCAGCCTCTTGAGCGGAAAGAATAAGGGGAAGGTGGTGAAACTCACAGAGACAAGGGAGAGCCTCCCCCTGTTTCCTGGGTTTCTAAAGTTTGGAAGGAAAGTGGTGAAAAAGAAGGCTTGTACAGTTCCCTCTGGCTCTGGGGTCCTGTGCTTAGAGTTCCAGTGAACACAGTATCCCAGGATTGTATAGCATTTACAAATCTGGGCTGGCCTATTCACTTATTTCAAATATCATGGATAGGGCAGGGGACTTCAGAGGCTGTATATGAGTTGGCACCCTCAGAGTAGCTAGTCTTTCTAATTTGTCTTGACGGTATGACTTCCTCTTAAATAAGTTGGAGAACAACCTCCCTTCTCTCTGAATAAATATGCTCTCATAATGGTTCTCTTCAGTTTTTATTAAAAAATAAAACTTCAAAATCCAAGGGCAGTGTTTCTTGGCACTCTTTTATAATTATAATAATTCAGTTCTTTGGATATCTTTACCTTTTTTTCTCTGCCTTTTGTGAAAAAAGCTGCCAGATCTGTGTTAGCACTGTGTTGTACAAATTAATATAGAATCTGAGACCATCTATGCCAGATAAAATGGGAGAAGCAATTGTGAAGTATTTTTAAGTAAAAGCATAATTACATTTACATATGGTATGTGGTAGGGACATGATTTGTTTATCTCTATGATTCCTCTTCTATATGAGGTGTGTATACACCTAAGGTGATATTATAACCATTGACGAAGTTCTATAGACACCTGTTAGGAAGTGGGCACTTTACATATATTATTTCATTCAGTCTTTACTACAGTGATTCCTCTGGTTTGGGCATGATGTATCCCCAAAAGCTTAAAAACTGAAGGCTTGGTTGACAATTGGCGAACTTTTAAGAGTGACTGTATCACGAGGACTGAATCTCATCAGTGGATGGATCCATTGATGGATTCATGCCTTGATGGCATTACTGGGAGGTGATGAAAACTAGGAGGTGATGACTGTTGGAGGGAGTAGGTTGGTTGGGGCCTGCTTGTCTTGGGGTAGATCTTGTCTTGGCATGCTCTTGCTGTCCTGTCTCCCAGTTTCCTAGCAACCAGTAGATGAGCAGCTTTTGCCCCACTACACACTTCTTTTCATGCTCTTTTGCCTCAGCACACACCCCTAATAATGGAGTCAAGCAACCATGGATGGCACCTCCCAAACTGTGACCCAAATAACTCTTTCTTCTCTTAAGTTGACATTTTTGGGTATTTTTCATGGTGATGAAACTAACTCCGTGTTCTATGTTGGCATTATTATCCTCACTCGTTAAGTGAAGAAGCAAATTCTAAAAGTTATTGAATAACTTCCTAAGCACTGAAGTGTCAGAGCTGTCTGGGATTCAGAGTAAAGGGCAGTAACCTGCCTCATTCATTGAACCTACAAATCTTGTTCTATGATGAACTTGATTCTCTCTCAAATACTTGCCTGCATTCATTCTTTCCATTATTTAGGAAGTAGAAAAGTACTGGAGTGCCTTGTATGTAACAGAAAGAATTTTCTGTTTCTTCTCTCCATACTCACTGAGTATCAGACTTAGACCTGGGATATTTTCTAGTCTGTTTGCTATGACATAAGGGTTTATTTTCATGTCTAGCTACAGTCTTTATCTCAATAAGCATTAAGTAGTTTTAATTGCTACATTATGTTGCCAGTAAGGAATAAGGTCATTGGATTTGTCCTTCAAGCCTTGCTACTTGATGTGTATGCAAGCATCCGTGCTTGTGGACCAGTGCAACAACTTCACACTTTGTCCCTGCCCGGCACTAGATATAGAGCTTCTAAGAAGCATGATATGTAAAAGTGGTTTTCCTTCTCATTTGGGAGGGTTTTCTGTGATATATTGGAAAAATATTATTGCATCTCCCCTCCTGGGAAGGAGTGACCAGTAGATAGAAATTTAGATTTCATGTGTAGATTGCATGAAACTGTCATAAAGCAAAGCTGGAAGGCATAGTTTACATTACTGAGAACAAATAGAGAATATTCACAACAGCAGAATTCTGACAAAATGCCCAGATAGCTTGGAAGAGCCAAAGCTGGGGATGGATTTTCTGATTAATGGAATCATTTTGCTACTGTGGGACCCCTGAGAGACTGATAGTTCACTGTCCCTGAGAATCAGAAAATGACAGTTGTTATGGAGGAGATAGTCTCATTTATCACTTCATCAGCGTGTGTATCCTTCTATGTATTCATTCTTGGAATTGCTGCAGAACTCTTCTGGGAACAAAGTTATGAATTGGGTGCTTGAGTTAGACAGGGTGAGACCAAGACACAGCTTGAGTAAGTTGCTAGCCTCCCTGTACTCCCATTTTTATTGTCAACAAAATCTAAGCTCTTCTGCCCGTTGGGTGCTAGAAGGCTAAAGCAATAATTCACCAGAAAGGGTTTAGACTGTGTCATATGATAAGCACTCTGAAGAGGCTAGTGGTGGATGTGGCTGTTTTGCTTGCTTGGAACTTCAAACAGTAGTTCTTTTATGGGGGCAGATTTTATTGGAACTGACAAATTGAACCCAGGGTCTTGCATATGGTAGACAAGTGCTCCAGTACTGGGCTGTAATCCTAGGCTTAAAAAAGTATTTCCCAAGGGAGGTGTGGAAGTGTCGAGGTTGCGTCTGTGGTAGCATTTGACTGTATGTAGAGACATTTTTGGTTGTCATACAGCAGAGGTACTGCCGATGGCCATATCAGAGATGTGTGTGTGTGTGTGTGTGTGTGTGTGTGTGTGTGTGTGTGTGTGTGTTTTCCTTTTTTTGTTGGCCCCAGAGAGTTAAGTTTAACTCCCTTCACTGGCCCCTGAGAGCTAATTTTACTTCCTCAGATAGAAAAGTCAAAGGTCCACCAACTCCATAGGCTCCCCTCAAGCCCCAAACTGCTGGAGGCTGGCCCTCATGGCAGCGATAAGGTACTGTAGATATCTAGTGGACAGAAGCCAGGGAGACCACTAAATATCTTATAAATTACAGTATAAGGAGTAGTCTAGTCTAACAACAAATTAGAAAGACCTGAAGGAAGAAGCACGTAACCAATGATTTGAATTCTCTAGATTGGAGCTCTTTGAAAAATGTTAGGCCCTAAGAGGCCAGGGACTCGGAAGTCCAGGGATCTTTTATGGATATTTGTCTCCTTTCATCCCCGCAACTATCTATCCCATAAAGATTGTCTTTGGTGCTCCTCTACAGATGAGGAAACAAGACACCAGGAGGTGAAGTTACATGCTCAGGGTTACCTGGGTAGTAGAGTGAATGATGCAGGATTCATTGGCCGGCTGGTTGGTTGCCTATCTCATGCCCTCCACCAATTTGTGGGGGTTCCTTTAGGTGTGAAGGGCATCTCAGTGGCCTGAGGGAAAGCTATGATGGTCAGCACAGCTTGAGCTGAGATGGCTGGGAGGAGGTGAGTAGAGATGAATCAGTGAAAAACTAGATTGGGTTTGGAAGGACCCTCCCAAGCCTTTCAGAGGAGATTGGATTTTATACTGTAGAAAGTGGGAACATGATAGAAATTTCACGCTAGAAAAAGAAATCTTTTACCAAAGGGGAAGATGGATTGGAGGATGGATAGGGAGAATATTGCAACATCACGTGTAATGTAAAGGAGGGCAAAGGGTAGGCGTGTTGGAGTTGGGTGGATTTGCCCTTTTGCCTACTGAACCTAAGGCTCCTCCTCATTGTAAAGGGAGGAGTTGGTCCTCACTTGGATTCAGAGAACACTGAATTCGATAAGTGCCTGGTAGAGAACCTGGATGTCACTGGCATTCAGAAATTGCTGTTTCTTTCACTGACCAACTGTCTCTCTTGCTTCTCCAATGTGACTTGCAAAGAATGTAATGAAATGAACAAAGGTAACCATGCTCATGCATTTCTTTGGCTGTGGAGTGAGGTACCTCCAATGTGCTTTTGAACTTACAGTTTCCATGAAATAATATGACAGTCATTTTGTCCTGAGAATTTCGTTATCCCTGAACTCTCCCTTGTCATAATAGCTTATCTCCCTGTTCCCAGTGCAATTGCACCAGACGCCTGTGCACTGACTAGTCTTGGTGAAAGCTGTAAAGCATTCACCTCGTGCAATCCACAAAGCATAAAATCATGAGGAGCCTGCAGTGACTGACAT